GAAAGAAAGAAAGAAAGAAAGAAAGAAAGAAAGAAAGAAAGAAAGAAGGAAGTACCTCTTGGCTGTTGATAGACTTTATCTAATGTCATACAATGGTCTGGGGTCTAAGACCCCCTTGAGACCATCTGGTAGAACTTTCATATTTTACAGAGAATATTGAAGCCTAAATAAAAGTGACCAGTATGGTGAGCAAACTGGAGACCATGAAGTATAAAGATTTTGTAGGAATTGTGGCTATTTGGCCTGGAGAAGAGATGCAGGGAGAACTTGAAAGCTGTCTTCAGACATCTATGGAGTTGTTATGTAGAATGAGATTATAATGCAGACTTGTTTTTTATTGGGTCCCAGAGAGCAGAATCAGTAGTAGAAGGCAAGATTTGCCAACAGGCAGAAGTTAGCTTTGATTGGGGTGGGGAGGAACAGGGCGACTTTATAACAATCTGAGCTGCTCCAAAGTGAACTATTATTACCTCAGGCTACTATCAATGGAAACCTTGAAGAAGAGACTGGAGGCCACTTGTGAGATGTGCTGTAGAGAAGATTGTTGTTCATACATGTGTTCATCTAAGGGATCTCTGAGGTCCTTTTAAGTTCAGATTTTGTGATGCTCTCTCCAGAACTCTTAGTCCCCACATGCACTCCAGACTCCACAGCATTGGTCAGTGTTCAGCTAGACTGCTGCCCCATCAATCTGCTTAAGAGGCAATGCAATTCCTCACTGACACTACTGTGATTTGGGGAGCACCAGAATTTTTTTTCCCTTCCTGAAACTCTCCCAGCTGCATATTCTAGTGCAGGAGTTCTTAATCTTTTTTTGGGTCATGGACCTCTTTGGCAGTCTGGAGAAGCCCATTCTCAGAATCATGTTTTCAAATGCACAAAATACATAATATTACAAAGGAAATTGATTATATTGAAATACAATTATAATAATATTAATTTTTTAAAAGTTCATGGACTGCAGGTTAAGAACCCCTGATCTGAGGCCACCCTCAGGCCTTGTTCATGTGGACAGAAAGGATGCAGTTCCCTTGGTGAAAAGGAATACACAGAACTCCCAGTAATGCTAGACCACTTTTATAGTATGCTTCCAGTTTTCCATGGTTCCTTTGATTGGGGAAGGGGTGTGTGTGTGTGTGTGTGTGTGTGTGTGTGTGTGTGTGTG